AGGAGGTGGTGATGGTTTCACGGCTCCTTCGGGTACGGTGCCCGCCACTGCCTATCCCCGTGCTCATACGAGGCAGGAAACTCCTGAGCCGGCTAGTAAACGCGGCCGCACTCGCCGGCCCTTCACCCCAGGTTGGTCGTTTATTTTATGTGCACGTTAGGTATCTAACAGACACTGGTGCCCAGGTTTCTGTCGTACCTATTGGTAACAGTAAGTAATAAGATACGACGCTTCGACTACGTGCTGCGAATGGCTCAGCCATTCCTATCTATGGTACACGACAAATCAAGGTCAACCTGGGCAACCGACGACAGTATCTGCCGAAGTTCCCACAGCCATACTCGGTATCGATTTCCTACAGCACTTCGAATTGCTGGTCGATTCACGTAGGCTGCGGCTAATCGATACTTCGTCAATCAGCAAATTCGTAAGCCTCAAAGCCTAAACAAACCCGTACCAAATCCTAGGCGTCTTTTATTCGTGTGACGATATATTCCACGCTTTGTTCGAGAAACCCCCCAAATTAACTAAACCACTCGAGGCGATTCCATCGGTGACCAACCGTGTAGTACACCACACAGCCACCCGCGGACCCCCAGTCCCGGCAAGGCCACGCCGCCCGGCACCGGACAAGTTGGCTTTCGCCAAACGTGAGTTTGACAGTTTACTAGCTACTGGGATTATTGGTCTTTCTCACAGTTCCTGGGCCTCACCTCTTCACGTAGTGCGCAAAACGGATGAGGTTAGTTGGAGACCATGCGGCGACTACCGAGCACTAAACGTAGTCATGCGCTTTGATAGCTATCCCATCCTCCACATGCACGACATCACGTTATCGCTCAAGGGCACGACTATCTTTTCTAAGATCGGTCTGGTACGAGCATATCATCAGATCCCAGCCAAGCTTAGTATAGCGGCTGATGTATCGGATTTTGCCATAGGAGCCGTTATGCAACAAAACATTTCCGGATGTTGGCAACCTCTTGAATTTTTCTCACAACGCCTTACTCTCACAGAGACGAGATATAGCGCTTTTGGTCGAGAACTTCTAACAGCCTACTGTGGCATTAAACAATTCCGATACGCAGCAGAAGGTCGCCATTTCATCTTATTCACCGGCCACAAGTCTTTAACGTATGCTCTGCATACCAAGTCTGACCGCTACTCATCACAAGAACGTAGACGTTTGGACTATATCTCTCAGATCACGACAGACCTTCGTCACATTAAAGGCGAGTCAAACTATATTGCCGATGCTCTGTCACGTATTCAGGTAAATGCAGTTACTTTAACGGTGCTTGATCTTCCTGCTATGGCTGCCACCCAAGCAAACGATCCTTTTCGTACAAAAGCACCACAATCTACATCTCTTCAGTGCCAGGAAGTAGCCCTAGCTACTAGCTCAGGTACTATTCTATGTGATACTTCTACCGGTCTTCCCTGACCCATCGTGCCCTCTGCTTACCGTCGTCTCGTCTTCGATGCCCTGCATGGACTGTCTCATCCAGGTATCGCATCTTCATTACACCCCATCGCCGCACGATACGTCTGGCTGTCCATGAATAAAGATGTCCGTATGTGAGTAGAGCAGTGTTTACAATGTCAACGATCAAAAGTGCACAGGCACGTAGCTACCCCCATGGGCACGTTCGCTACGTCTGATGCTTGCTTCGATCACGTTCATATAGACATTGTGGGACCATCGCCACTATCGCATGGGTATGATCACATACTCACGTGCATCGATAGTTTTACAAGATGGCCCGAAGCCATTCTCATCACGTCTATTACGGTGGAGACAGTTGCTCACCACTTCGTAGAACGATGGATAGCGCTGTACGGTTGTCCCTCGACTGTCACGACTGACCGTGGACAACAATTCGAGTCCGTATTATTCTCCTCGCTAACCCGGCTGCTTGGTACGGAACGCATGTGCACTACCGCCTACCACCTGACATCAAATGGTTTGATTGAAGGTTTCACCGTCAACCCAAAAGTGCTCCTCGAGCACACGAAAACAACAACTGGTGCGAAGCCTGACCGCTCGTCCTCTTATGCATCAGAACGAGCTTGAAGGTAGATATTCAAAGTTTCGTAGCTGAACTTGTATACGGCATGACATTGCGTCTGCCTGGGGAATTTATCACACCACAGAGCAGTAACGATTTCGGTAAATCAGACTACGCCAATCGACTGTCTGGATTTATGCGAACACTGCCTCCGGTGTCAACTCGAATACAACATCGACAGGTTGCTCTCCTTCGAGAGTTACCTACCTGTTCAGATGTGTTTCATACCAGTAGATTCGGTACGCAAACCTCTGCCACAGCCTTACGAAGGTCTTTTTCACGTGATTTCTCGCCACGAAAAGACCTTCAAGGTTGGCAGACACGGCCGCATCGAGATCGTTAGCACTGATCGTCTCAAATCAGCACACGTCGATGACAGTGCCCTACTTGATAACTTGAGACCCAATGTTATACCCATCGAACCTACTAGCAGGATCCCTGTATCTGCTTCAGATCCCACGCTAGATACGTCAGGGACCTCATTCTCACGTCTCCGCTAACAGCACGCGTCATCTGCACCATCTACGGACGGGACTTCAGTTTGACGTCCAGATCAGCAGACCACGCCGCCCTTGAATTCGAATGAGATTGCTGGCTAACGAAGTACGAACGAGACTACTGCCCCACGTTCTGGTCGCGCGAGTACTCCTACCCGTACGCTCTCGCGACTAACCGCACTATCAACAACGAATAAGTTATAGAACTCTACCCTTATACTACATACATGCTACACCTTTTCTCTTTTTTTGACTTTTTTTACCTTGAGCCCTCGTCTCTGACCATCACTCGTTTGGTACCGTCGACTTCAGTCAATCCTGGAGAAAGCTGGCCCGATCACCCACGCCCCTGTCGACGCACTCAGTCGATATTCTGGTTTCGAATATGTCTGGCATATGTTTGATCTCACAATCGGTTGTTATGGTCGTTTCTGGTTCATCGGCCCAACGTGGTTTCGTCTTACGTCTGCAGCGTTTTCTGGTCCAGACCCCTACGGACGCAGTCTTCGGATCCTGCATGCAAACCACTCTGGTGTGGTAGGCTAACTCGAGCAACGAGTTCAGCACATTTCTCCTAGTACCGTTCTGCGTAAAAGACTTTTGTTGGCAACTCGAGGATCAACGATCGCTTCCTGTTCCACCAACCCTCTCGTCCTGCAATCGCACGTTTTCCGATCACTCCTACGAACGAAACCGCCACGGATCTAACGTGTAAACCCTTTCTAGCGAGGGGCGCCTGTAGTGATCTACTTTTATAAAGAGAACGCGATTGATGTGGTGGAAACAATTATTATTATAACCAATTGTACCGGTGATTGTTTTACCGTACTTGTTTGTACAACTGTACCAAAATACATACATTCTTTCGTTGTTTGTGACCTTGCACGAATTCGGTTACGCTCAGCAACCACACTTGTAACCTGGCACGATCCCGGTATCCTTGAGATACCACGAGATCGCCAACAAATACATCTTGACCACAGCCATCATATACCTTCCCATATATCTGGCTTACGACGGGTCTTATCGGTAAACTGGCACGTAGTCTTCTTGTAGTGGTGATCATAGTCAACCGCGACTCGACACCTCACTAGAGCAGCATGGCTTTAGAGTAGGTTATTAGTGGCTCATGAAGGGTGGCGCCCTCTTAAGGAACAAAAGTTACCTGTAGACGTAGCCTACATTGACTTTAGCAAAGCATTTGACAAAGTTCCTCACAACTGACTGTTATATAAGTTAAGAAATGTCGGAATTGAAGGCAATCTATTGATGTGGATAAAAGACTTCTTAGTTGGGCGTCAACAAAGAGTTCGGGTGAACTCAAAGTTGTCTAGCTGGGAAACTGTGCTTAGTGGAGTGCCCCAGTGTACAGTTTTGGGGCCAGTGTTGTTCCTCTTGTATATAAATGACCTTTCTCGCCTCCTATCACCATCGATCTTGCTATATGCTGACGATGTCAAGATATGGAGAGCGATACGAAGTAAGGATGATGGCTTGTAACTTCAAAATGACCTGAAGAAATTATCTGAATGATCTCAAACCAGGCAGTTGCCGATAAGTACTTCCAAGTGTGTTGTGATGCATCGGTCATCATCATCGGTCATCAAGGTACAGATGCATACACGATGAATAACACTGAGCTACCTGTCGTCCAGACACATAATGACTTGGAAGTCATCGTTAGCCAAAACCTAAAGACTACTGCAAACTGCCATGCTATAGCCGCCAAAGGTTTTAGAACCTTATAGTCAATACGTACGGCTTTTAGTCATTTCGACGCTAAAACGTTTTTGACTTTGTATACAGTGTTCGAACGTCCTAAACTTGAGTACTACATACAAGCGGCTACCCCCTACTTAAAAAGGACAGTGGACTTTTGAAATAGGTTCAGAGAACAACAACTAGGTTGCTTCTCGGAATAGCGAAGCTCCGGTATGATGCTCGACTGGCTGAACTAAACTTATTCCCATTGTCATGTCGAAGAACTAGATGTGACTTGATTACACATTTCATATTACTTAGTGATAAATTTGCACCTGACATGCCCTCATTTTTCTTGTCTTCCAAGACAGAGAATTCATGAGGACACAGACCACCTAGCCTCCTGCCCCTTCCAAACCGAAACTGAAAATCACTCATCCGTCATAATACTGATCAACCACGATTACACACCAAGCCTAATTAAATAAACGAAGCTAGGAAACCGAATTACCACACTAGATAGTTTTACAGTTTAAGCACATGTTTGAAGGCAAACGTGATGGTAGCTTGCTATATATCATCAGCATGATATTGATTTTGGTTGACGTCCGAGAGTTTGACCTTGATGTTTAGTGCGGATGGCTTGGTTTTCATGTTCTATGCATCTTATGGTGCTTTGTGGTTTACTTCTGTTAGAATACAGGAATCAAACTAGATCAGCCTGAAGATTCAGATGACGACTGTCATTTCTAGACACACGTCCACCATTTCTCTAGTTTCGCAGAATTCGGTACAACTGGAGGCTGGGTTATTAGTTCAGTGCCTTAATCGCTACAAGGAATATCTTGAGTGCGGTTGTGAGAAGGTTTTGAACTCCAAATTTTCGAAAAAGGGAATAGGTATGTACTCTTGGCGCCCATAATATAAATTCGTAACCATTGTCACCTTTCGAAATCGCTGAAGTCACATTAACTAAAATCACTACTGTGTGCTAGCATTAGATGTTAGTTTTCAAATCAGGTTCGGCTGCATAAGGATTTTAGAATTCGCATCTCTGTGGCTCTGAAAGTGAGTCTTGCCAAATAAGGCATTGGAACACTCTAATTAACTTTCATGATGCCTGTATTAAATTTCTCGTCTATTTGCTAGTCCTAATTTTATTATAGTTATCTACAATTTATCTTGAAATTAATTGCATTATTGGTCGACCGACTACATGATGTACATATATATAGTGGATAAAGCAACTGGATTACGACGGTCTATCTGTGTTAGGTTTTTAACCATGTCAATTCTTGTGGTACTTAACATTTTCAAAGTCGGTACGATCTAAAAGATTTGAAACATATGTTAGGTCACAGTGAACAATTGTTTCAACTGATGTAAATTGGTCAGTGTTGCAACAGGCAAACTCAACTTCTGAGACAAAGTAAAAGCAGCGGGTGCTTAAGCTGTTGTATATGACATAGCAGAACTAACTTGGAATAAGTTATCCTTCCGAGTTATTTGGTGGTTTATTACGGCATTTCCTAGCATGTTTTACTCTTAGGTGACGTTCTTTTGAATTCCTGCTCAATGTTTCCACATAATCACTAAGAGGTTGTATTGTCGATCTTACTTTTTCGTAACTGTCAAGATTAAAATGCCTTAATTACTAGCCATTCTTGTTAATTTTAAAATGAAAAAAAAAACAATCGGGTCATATAAACAATAGTTTTTTATGTTGTTTCGACTGATCTACTTGTGAAAAGCCAAGAATGTGTTATAAGTAGTCTGTACTAATAACTACTTTTTATTACTGTGTTAATAGTTTACTCGCTACAAAAATACCTTTAAAAATATTTGTTTGAGTTCAGACCTTCAGATATGTTCATACAGAACTAGTAAAGTCTTTATTAGTCCTAGATAACGAATTATCAGCATCTGAATGTTCAAGTTACTGTTCACTTGTTTGCGATGTACATCTGAACATATGGAAATCCACCATAAAGCTGTCATGTCTGCTCTAACACCGAGATGTTTTTCGATCTAATAGTCGTAAACAGTTATTTTTAGTTTGCTATTGTATCGTTAGACCGTTTCTCTAAATTTTGAGCGGTGGTTTAACGGGTAAAGCGCTCAGTTTACAATCATTATACCATATTCTAGTCATAGTCCACGTGGCACCACTGGTATCAATAATCCTCACTAGATGTATCTCAAAATCGAAAATATTAACTTGTATTTTGTAAAGCAGTTAAATTAATACCTATTTTGCGTGGATAGGACCATACACGAAATTCATTAGCTCTTACAGTCACTTAAATTGAAACGCAAACTGTTGCAGGCTTTTTGCGTCCAAAATGTTTTTATACCACGCAACCAACATGCCAGAAGGTTGAGATATAAATTTATATGTTAAATAAGTGAAAACAACAGCCTAAAATAGAAGATAAAACAGGTTAAGATGGGGAGGATTATAAGGAGTGGCAGATTTTAACTACTGTGATGAATCTGGGGCATTAATTCTTAAAGTCGCTAATCGTAAGTTTTCTTATGTGAACAATTACTACTGCCTAATAATTATAGATTACATTCCCTAGTTATTTCAGCTGGTCTAAGTTAAAAACTTTGTCAGTTTACTTATTGTTCTTATCATCTGATCCTGACCGTATTGAAAAGAACGTTTTTCCACACAAAATGTTATTTAAGGACCTCTTTATTCAAATAATTTGACTTGTATTGTACTTCAGTAAACGTCTCAATAGTACGTCCAGTTATCGCTACACTGTACTTTACATTGGCTTCTTTTTACAAGTAAGTCTTGTTCTAGTAGATAACGTGATGAAAAGTATAAAAAACTGGGTTTCTGTTTTTGGTTTACTTTTCAGTGGTTTAGCCACTCGACTTGTAGCAGTTGAGGCACAGATTTAAACCTAACACAGCTGGATAGCATCACTGAGTTTCACATAAAACGTATTCCTGTTAACTTGGTATGCTAACCTCTATTCTCCATTCTTGTTTAACTTCGTCGTTGATGTGCTATCAGAAATAACACTCCTTATCTAAATTTTCAGTCCAACTTTTACCGGGAAATTCACTTCTTGACTTGGAATATGCCGTTGACATAGTTCTATTTGGTGAAGACTAACAAAATGCAGTCTTCTGACCACCGTAAGCATTAATGCAAACGTGCTCGAGATGCGATTCTCTCTCTTAAAATGCAAAATATTGCTTCAGGGTTGGGTTGCATCGGCACCTGAACTAATGATAGGGAGTGAAGTAATTAAGCGTGTCGACCGCTTCACTTATCTTGGAAGTCTCATCAGCCCTTGTGGTCTGGTGACGAAATCTCAGCACGGATACAGAAGGCTCGACTAGCTTTTGCTAACTTGCGTCATTTATGGCGTAGGCGAGATATCCGTCTATCAACCAAAGGACGGGTTTACTGCGCAGCAGTTCGTTCCGTCCTACTTTATGGCAGTGAAACATGACCGGTAAGAGTAGAGGATATTCGTAGGTTACTAGTATTTGATCATATGTGTCTTCGAAATATTGCTCGTACATCCTGGGACCATCGAGTAAGTAACTCAGTTGTTAGGAAACGGGTACTAGGTAAGGATGGCAAATCGATTGATGAAGTAGTAGAACTTTACCAGTTGAGATGGCTGGGACACATGTTACGTATGCACAACCACTGACTGCCCCGACGTGCGATGTTCAATGGTATAGGAGTAGATTGGAAGAAAGCTAGGGGAGGCCAGACCAAAACATGGCACAAATCCATGAAGTCACTGACAAGTGGACTGAGCCATGTTGGTAGGTGTAGACTACCTGGTTGGGGACCGCGAGGTGATAGGAACCGATGGTTAAAGACCCTGAATGAAATGGCTCAAAATCGTTTGTAATGACGCAAGTGCATCCACTCTTTATGTTCTCCTAAATTCTAATCTTCTGAATTCCTTGTATTCTTTTTTTCTCTTTCCAAATTTATTTCACTGGATTATACTCCTTGAATAACATCTTCAAGCCCTAATTTTTCCGATTACTGCTTACACTATATATATATATATATGTATATATATATATATCAGTTTTGTGGTTTTTCCCTCCAGGTTCAAATGTTTTGAACAATCCAAATCCGTCATTCGGCGATGATACCGCTGATACAGCATCGTCAAGCATTTCAGGCGGTACCGGTTTTGAAAATATCACATCTTCAGTTGTTCGAAGACTGGATGCTGGAGCACGCGAGAGTTTAGGTCAGCACTTAATTCAGTTGTTGGCCACAATTGTCTTACCCGATCCTCCTCAATCTATAAGCGAAGTAGATACTCGTTTAGTGGATGGTTTGCCAGGCATTCCGGATAAGTTAATGCCATCCGATAGTAATATGGAAAGTTACCGCAATTTAGCTGAAAAAGGACGCAAAAAAATGTTGAATTTACCATTTGATAAAATATTTACTGCCCTAAAAGTATGTGTGCATATATTTCTTTATATTTAGTCCTATTAATTTCATTCTACAGTTATATATATATATATATATATATATATATATATATATATATATATATATATATATATATACTCTTGGATTCCAGCTGTAACTGATTTGATTGTATTCATCTTAAGTAATACAATATAAAAGAAAATATGAATCAAGGCTAAACTAAACAACAACTCTGTTTATTGACTTTTGGGTTGTAATTTGTTTGGTTTAATTTTTTCATGCATTTCTCGAACAGATGAGAAGCATATGTAGTGTGGGACAAGAGTATACAGGTTTGAGTCACCACCGTTTGCGAAGTTACACTATTGAAAGGATTGGCCAATTATCAACAACTAACCTTTTGTATTGTCCACTCATACACCAAGTAATAGTATAGGCGTAACTTAGTATTTGTTTCAACTTCGGTTCACAATCTCAATACTCAACTAACTACCTAGTTTCAGTAATGCTCACGTAGTGACTCTACAACATTTGCATGTTTATATACCTGCACACATTTACTTTCGTATACCTGTAAATTGCACCTCCAGCTTCTGATGCCTGTTTTTCTATCATAGTTTAGCAGCATAAGGCTTGTGGATTCAGAGTATACTTGGCTCTCATAAACGATTCATATATTGTCTTTGATACAACTTACTGAGTTTTAAAAGCATATCAACTAGTTCTTGTTGTTTTCGTTATGATTGATTAACTGGGCAAAGAGATTCTATAAGCATTTATCATAGATATTTTCGAATTGATCTTACAGCTATCTATAAGTAGCTTATCTGTTTGGTTACTTGTTTTGTTTCCTATTGTTTATGCGCATGTATTGACATATGTTAATAATTCACGTGATTTGTATTTTTATATGTACATACATTTCATATTCAAACGTCTTATTACTGGAATCACGTGATTGTTTAGACCCTAGAGAAGTGAAATCAAGAGGAGGGATGATATCAAAATATTTTAATCTAATTAAATAACTACCAAACTTTGGCATTCGGATATTTATCTGTTACTCGCTATTTTATTTATCATTGCCATCATTACGAACAATAATAATAATAGTAATTTAAAACAATTAGTCCCTTTGATAAATTTCGATAATGATATTAGAAGACGAAGATTATCTGATAATCTTCGTCTTCTAATATCATTATCGAAATAATAGTAATAATAGCACTAGTAATAATAATAATTGCGACAATAAAAATAATAGTAACGGTCCCAACTATTATCTAAAGTGTGCTGTAAATAACTTTTCCTTTTAAGTATTCCATGTTTTCGTTTCCTGTTTATTTTTAGTCCTATAGAATTAACCTGATAATTGAGCTACTTAATTGATAACTATCGTTATGGTCCGACAGTTGTGTGTGACTTTAGAGAGGAAAGTGGTAACCTCGGAACTTTTTAGCTGTAGGCCAACCCAGAGATGATACTAAGGGACGAATGGTTCTCTATTTTGAAGCGTTGGCATAGTAGTTAAAAAGCAGTCGACTTAAAACCAGGGAGCCTCAGACTGGGACCCCTCCTTACCTTGTTTAGCTTCGGAAACCTCATCATGCCTCTAGTCCTAACTCAAACAATATGATTTACAGACGAGTAAACAAAACCAAATTTACCAAATCCTGAATTTGGTTTATTTCTTGCTCTTCATGGTCACTATTATTTCTGTAGTAAATGACCCAAAACACCAAATCTAAAAACCTTAAGTTTTTGTTTTAAAATATCAAATCGTAATAACACTAAGTGATAAATTATTTTGTCATATTATTATTATTGTTTGAACACAAATACTGGTACAAGGGGGCACCAGATACATATGCGCCACACAAATCTCATTTAATTTGTGTGAGGGTTGTGATACTGCACGGGTGCCCAAACCGAAGCAGGTGGCTTTCTTAGGGACCACACCCGGAGCCTTCGACCTAAAGGTCTGATCCACAAGGCAGTGGAGCAACGTGAGAAGATGCAGTCCCATGATAGCCGGTGACCAACAATTGGTTCGTACGCCATTTGTTCACTCAGGATACTGGAGCCCATGTGCACCATTGGTTTGGAATCAGGGTTTTCCAACTCACCTAGGTGGACTCACTGTGTCCACCAACCCGGTTAAAGCGCCGGACGTTCGTTTTTCGTCCTCTCAATTTTATAAACAACACCCCCGCCATGAGAAGGCAGTGAGTAGGACTTCCCTGGCAGAGGCTATATACGCGTGGCCATGTGAGAGCATTTCGATAGGGAGAGCGGACTCTCCTCACCTTCGGTTGCACCAGGGCATTTGAGGCCCCCCAAATTTTGTCATAGCTATTTAAAATTGTATTCATAACATTTTAGTAATATAAAATGTTGCTGGCATAATTCGGAGTTAACGCACTATGTGGTGGAATCTTTTAATATGGTTTATCTCCCAGTTGTCGATCTGTAAAACGAGTTTCCTTCCCCCGTGTTTATCCGGATAAAAGTTGAACTCAAAAACTAGTGTTATAGACAGAGTAATGATAGTGTTTGTCTTAGTGGTTTATATTGAATATCGAAGTTGCTGCTATTGATTACTATTTAATCAATAATTCTGATTATTCCAATTTCATCTATATACAGGAATTCAGTGGACGTTTTAACTTTAATGTATGCATTTATATCGTTGCTATAGCTGAACATGTGATCGGAAATTTTTTGCAGGTAGATGATTCATTAGATTAATTCATTATAATATTTATAATTTGTTGATACTACTTCTCAATACAGACTCTGTTATAAATCTCTTTCTTACGGTTATGACCCAGCTATTCCTATTGCTTAGTATTCTCGGACACCGATTCACTCGACAATTCCCCAAATCAGAACACGGTTGAACAGGAAAGAGATTATATTCCAAATAGCAAGGTTAGATGGAAGTAAGAAGCAAGTCAGAAGCACAATAGAGAAAACGTCAGTATATTTATAGTTTTTTACACGAGAAGATTCTAGAGTATTCTCCAACTATCGACTAGTGCTGATTGGATAAGAATTAGCCAATCAGCGTGCACCAAAGCAATCGTGAATTGAACATGCTTTAATCCGGTCTATGTCCCGCTAACAGACTCCATAACTGCTTAAAATTGTTCATTTTGTGCTAATATCAGCTAGACATCTATTAATTACCAAGCCAACACTTTAGTCGCATAATAGAATTTTCCAACTGTATGGAACTGTGGTTCACTCTCATAAGGATTTGGTTTCTAACCGATGGGTTGTGGTTCTACATTTCTTTTGTCTGGACTTGGATAACCTGACAGTATGTATCGTTACCCCCCACGAATTTAACTCAGCTTTTAGCATTGTATACATAAGTGTACACGTGGTTGCCGTTAGTTATCTACACATGTTTGTTGAATATATGATTCCAGCCCCATGGCGATTTGTAAAGATCCAAATTTTTCAGTAGATTCATGTTTCTGCCACATCTTTTTTCTAAATACATATGGTCCCTAAAGATTTTCTGCTAGTTAGTTATATATAACCCAGGGTCTGTTATAAATATCTGTCAGTTCAGTGACCACACTTTACATCTGCACAACATAGAATCAACAAAATGGAAAACACAGTCATAGCGATAGTCGTATCGATGGTAAGGGGAAGAGTAAGTATGCGAGTTGTAGTTTAAAACGAACTGATAATGTTGAAAAATGATAAGTATTAAATAACGCCAAGCACGAAAAATCAGGAACGAATACTTATGTCACTACATGTGGTTTTGAGCCGTCACACAAGGTCTTCAAGAATTGATTACGGTTACCGCGTGGACATAAACTAGGAATCTACATTTTCGCACGTGAATCAGGCTAACAAACTTTTAATTCACTATCCTGGTTTTATCACTTCTAGCCTCCTTCCAACTTTTATACTGGCCCAGTATAGAGTATCGACGTACGCTGTGGCTGATCACCATTAAACGTGTCTCATTTACCTCGATAATTATAGGTTCACTACCTTGTTTACGGATTTACCTAAAACCCTAAGTTTAATATCAGTAGCTCCACCATACACATGAAGTGCTTGGATACATTTGATAAGACATAAACAAACTACTGTTATGTTTAAGAGAGTACGATTGCTCTGTTTATTCACTTTGGCAGACAAATATTTCTATTGAACCTGAGATACATTGAATATCATTAGTAGGTTTGCTGAAATCAGGTATCCTTTAGTCCGTATAAATGCTTTCTGTATTTGCTTATTTCCGTTTTAGGCCGCTATTTGCTACGAAGATAAAGCTCTGACTGAAAATGTTATTCGTGCATCAACTGTCGAGGTGATTTGTGTATTGTTATTATTTAACATTATCATCATTATAATTGGATTTTTATACATGGGTAACTTTTGAAGTATCTTTTTCCGCATTTCTCCAGTACGTTAATGCTAATCGAATTTTATTTATTTATGTCCGTAATCTCGTTTAACCGGTATGCCATAGTCAAAATCATCGTCCACTTTTAAGATTATGAATTGGTCACGAGGAGAGAAATGTGATAAACCTAAGGATGTTTGTTCTAAAATTATAGTGTTTAATTGATGAATTTAATTACTTATGCTTTAACTGCAGAATTATAGGCTTCTTGGTTAATTTCTACAGTGTTATAGAGTCACCAGTTAAATTCATCAAAGATTTTAGCTTCAGATGCTGTTTTCTTATTTTTATTCACCGTTTAACAATTTTTGTATCATACTTATATTTGTTTCACTTATTCTTTCCTTCGCTACTTCATTTTACCTATCTATTTGGTTTTCTATATGTTCATCCTCTCATTAGGTAGCTAGGTTATTCATTTTTTAGGAAAATACTTTGTGTTTTGGGAAAAATCAACTGGCATATATCCGAAATCAATTTTCAAACTTTTAAAATATACGCAGAAAAGACGTTTGATTCCATAAATACCACCTTTTCTAGTGGTTAGCCTTCAAAACTATCGTATAGTTCTTCGAACAATTTGGATTTTTATTATACAATCATAATTGGTATCAATTGGCAATAAACTCGTTCAATATGTATTCATCTCAGCTTACTGCCTAAATCTCGGTGACTGGGATGAAAAGTAATTCTAAACCGGTGTAGGGGATGGTTGGAAGAAAGTTAGGGGCGGCCAAACCAAAACGTGGCATCAGTGCCTGAAGTCACTAACTTCTAGTCTGAGCCATGTTGGTAGATGCAGACTATTTGGTTGGGGTCCGCGTGACTTTCGTAACCAATGGTTGGAGACCCTTGATGACATGGCTCAGAATCGATCACAATGGCGTCGGTGTATACACTCTCTGTCTTCTCTTAAACTAAGAGATTAAGATCACTTCACATCTTTCTTTCTACGAACTAATTCTTTCTTCCTATACTATATCCTTATTGCAATCTTTCTCCTATATATTACCACGTTTGACCTAACCACTCCTATGAATCCAGTGTTCATCTTGCTGTGCTAATGAGGTATGGCAACCTGGGCCGATGCATACATGTGCCTGGTCCTACGTTGTAGCTGACTGACTGACTGACTAAATCGATCAAATCTAATTTCCAGTGTCTAGTGAGCTGTTTAGTCAAATTAACGTGTTACTTATTCTGTACTAATATTATACAGTCTAGTCAGGCATATGATTTGCTACTCCTTAATAAGCTGTAGTATTGATACAAATAGAAGTATGCTGCTATTTTGATTTTCACATACATGGCTTTCAGTTCAATCATAATCTGATCGAGTTTAGCTGAATTAAAATAGTTTTTTAAAAAAATCAGTTTACTAATTTAACGTGGTATCCTATTGTTATAAGCTATGGTGATGGCATAAAAACTAACAATATCATTTGGTCACAGTAACTGAAATTATTGTGGGAAACTTTAAATTACGATCTAATACAACAAATCATGATCATCTACCAACGTTATATGTGTATCTTAAAATGTAAACAAGGTTATTTTTTCTCAACAAATAACTGAACTCGTAATTCATTAGTATTATCTACTCTTTGGTATACTTGTAGAATGATTTAGTTTTTTCCATACCTACGCTCATTGTTGTTTTGAAATTTCAGACTTTGGTCCAATTTATTTAGTCGTATGTGGTTTTCAGTTCATGCAGGGATGTACTTTTGTTTAATTTAAATTTATCTGAGTAATAGCCCAATTTCCTGTTGATTCACCTCTATTCAGTTAAGTAGTGTTTATTTCGGGCATATGAATGTTCCTTTGAATCCCTTGGATTAAAATCTGTTTTTGTAAATAAACCACGCAACTATGAATATCATACAACCTATCTACCTACTTACTATAAACGAATTATTTTTATAGATTTTTTTCTTTGAAAGCATAATACTAGTTTTTAATTACATTTGATAAAATTACTAACTTCATTATACTCTTTATAATTAAAACACTTCACATTAACCAGAAATACTTCAGATGTCCAATAAAGCTAGAAAAATGCATCAAAGAACCTAATTAGTGCCCTGAATAAATTTTTAGTAAATTTTAAAAACTGTTGTATTTATGTTCTTTCATAACCTAATCAATAGAAATCTAAATTATCACTTATGTTAACCTTTTTTTTAACGAAACTGTGTATCAAAGACATTGGTAATTGTAAAGCATAACATTTTATTTGTGTAAGTGTCCTAGATTTTAAAGTAAAACTTGTTTTGCATTTCAACTTTCTGATTTTGTTAGAAGTCCAAGGTTTTTTTTACCGAAACTTAACTAGTTAAAATGTCTGGGGCACAAGCGTTTTGTTTACTCAAGTTAGCACAATTTTACGAGTCTATTCGTTTACTAGTTCATACTTTATTCAGTAGTTCAGTACGGAACGTGATACAGTGATGCATCATTCACTCTTTAGATACCTGAGAAATTTCATTCAAGAGTTGGTAAATAACTAAATTATGTACAAATTTAAGGTGATTTGTGTGTGTGTTTTAGGTTTGTCAACTATATTTACTCATTACGCGATAAAGACAACATGAAGATTTGATTATTTTACAGAATGAAGGTGGTCCAATGAGGGAATGATGCCTCAATAAATAACTTTTAGTTATTCGAAAATCAATTTTCTGCAAACATGAATTTAGTGATATATTGTATGTAACTCCTCTGCATTTCGACTGTATAGCGTTTAAAATTCTCTTAATCCGTGTCTGAATAGTTGAAAAGATATATATATATATATATATATATATGGATTTGAGTATACTTCAGAAGCGAAATTTGAGTTATCACTTTGTACTTTGAAATGTTACTGAGAATGGCTCCTTACAAGACTATTTCTAGCATAAGTTGATGAGATTTAAAAAAAGCAATAATTTCCAGTAAATTAAAACATTAATTTATTACTATTTCTCATTTTCTGTAATTTAGAAATTGTTTATCTTGTATCGAGATCGTGTTAAACCGCGTCGTAAAATGTTTGAACATCGTTTAGCAACAGCTAATCTTTTTCCTCAAGATTATGATAAGTAAGTTGAATTTGAATCATTCTTATTTATTATATTTTCTTATTTCCTTTCTGAAATTATTTTACGACTCAAATTGTAGTAACAGTGTAACAGAAGTAGACTTTAATGTCTACATTTTATTCAGTTTATCCTTTTGGTTGTATGAATGATTGACTACCACTTCTGCTTGGTATGTAAGCGTTGATAATGTTTTCCACATCAATGACAATGGAAATTTCTTGATTAAACCACTAAGCTCAAAGAATACTACATAACCAATGGCGCTGACTTGATATTCCTTATTTTATTCTATTCTATGAGTAGGTTATTGATACACTTATATTTTAGCCTCATTTAGGAGTTAGATTGATATTGACAGTGATTTTCGACACAATTTGGCCTTAGTTAAAAAAACCCATTATAATGCAGCTTATAGAGCCAAAATAAATTTTAAGATCTCTCTCAATATCAAGTATGTTAGGATTAGTTTGGATTTGAAGGAAAATAATTACTTAGTTTTACTCACTGTATGTGCAATAAACAATAACAAATAAATTTACTCACCGATTACTTGGGTTTAGGCTACAAATATAAGAACTAGTGATATTATCCACTTTCCAAACCAAAGTAGGTGGAGAGGGGTTTGAACTTAGGACTTAGTGTCTGAAAGCCAAACTGACTGTTTGTCCATTGTAATTGTTCATAAATTAAACATAAGCTGTTCCCATTAGGAGTTATTAAATACCCAAACATAAAATGTTTGATAAACTGCGAAAATTTTTTTGATGCTCAATCAAAAACCCGAATGAACCTATTTCTCATTTATTTTTCTTTCATATTAGCGGTTTTGGCACTCCAATTTCAGGCTGCAGGCCTTAAGTTCGAACTCTCACTCTAATTATTACAGTTTGAACACTCAGGTAGTGCCATTACCCTCGTGTACATAAATATGTACTTGGTAAACTAGTTACAACCTTACTATCATTTCTCTCTATCAGTTCATCTGATTGTCCTAGTTTCGCTTATTTTCTGTTTGCATTTTTTACTGTCAAAATAAGATCTAACATTAGTTCATGAATTCATTGATTTTTGAACTGAGTTGTGTAAGTAGATCCAGACTATCTGATTGGAATTTCGTGCAGTTTTCATCACCGGTGTTTCAAGATGTTAGGTAATATCGTTTAGAATCGGTCGCAATGCCACAGATGCACTCACTATTTGTCTTGAAATACTTCAAGTCTTTTAGTTTACGGATTCGCTCTTTCTGCTTGAATCACATTTTTTTTGCTAAGTGTTTCCGACTACCACGGACATTGATACTCACTGTTTCTATCTACCACTACTACGTCATTTGTCTTCATAGTCTCATCTTGTTGTGCTTATGTTGTATGGCAACTTGAACTGATTCATATATGCACTAACTTCTGTGTTTTGTACAACTATGTGTTTGTCTGTTTATTTATGATGATAATTTGAAATAGTTTGATTTGATGAAATATCGGTTCAAGTTCTTTTCTATCCCACTAATTAGTTGATTGAAAACCATTTAGATTTTTTGAAGATTACAACTTGTATTATTTATTTACTTCTTTACATCTTTCTGGGTTTTGTCAGTTATGAACTGAAAACTTTAATAAAAATGAATGTTTATTTAATTTAAAATAATAATCATTACGTATAAAATGTTTTCATTGACCATTATTATTGTTTATTATCTGCACACACTTTTGAACGAATTGTACCATAATGTTTTAGTGTCATTATTGTCGTTATCAACGCATTGATAACACAAGTTATTCATTAAATACTAGTAAAAACGTATTAAGTTTAATATCATATTAATCAGTTCAACATATTTAACCTATTGTAGTAGTAGATTCACTGCTACTACTACTATTGATGATGGTGATAATGATAACTTGTCAGTTAATATTAACATCAGAGGTAAATTTTAGTGTATATATGTGTCTTTGTTGGTTCATAGTGGCTTTGCTTTGTTAATCAGTCACCTTGGTAACCGCTATAGTGTAAATCTCAATGGTGTTTGATATCAGAAGGCAACAAGAAGCGGCCACTACAGTTTATTGGCGGATAGCGCAGGCCACAAAGCTATGAGCACATCAAGCGAATTTGAAGCGGATAGGCGAATATATGTATGTGATGGATTCAGACCAATGTTTTGGCTTTGTTCACATAAGTAATGGGAACCAATTGTATGGAATTTCTACGAAATTATATATTTGACTTCTTTCATCATCTAACTTGTCTGATTTTACCTGTTCCTCTACAAAATTTTAGGACTCCAAGTTCTCTCATAATCTTATCGATAACCCTCAATTACATTGAAGAAACTAACCTTGAAAGCGTGGCTTTCGTTGTATATCCACTCCTTTTATTTAGTATTCGATGAATTGGTCATTCGTTCTATTTTATAAAGTCATTTCTGTTTTGAAGTTCGCTTCAGTCGATAACCAGAAAGCATTTGACAGTTGTTTTCCTTTTTGAGAGGTTCTTCAACAGCGCCAATCCACAATCCCTCCGGTGATTGAACATAGGACCTTCAAGTCTTGGTACTGGCCTTGCCTATCCGGACCAACCGTATCTAATAAGAGCCATTTATCAACAAATGACATCAGAAGATATTTGCTAAATGTTACGAATTGATTGAGGTTAAAAATGTAAACCAATGGATGTTAGCTTAGCGGTCTTTACGTTAATTGCTCATTGCTAGATCTAAGGACCCTGAGTTCTATCCACGGTGGGTCGTGGATATACACTGTTGAGGAGTTCCATACTAGAGCGAAGTAACTGTTCAGTCCTTCCTGATTGTCAATAGTCAATTCGTAATGTAAGCCATAGGATTCAACAATCTCTACAAGTGTCCAGACTAATGTTGTATAATTTATCGATTACATACAGCTCAGTTTTTCTAAAAAAACGATGTGTTTAATTTATTTGATGCAGATCAACATTATCTGGTTGTCCAAACAGATTCAGTTGATTTGTAGTCAGACTTGTGAAACGATGTTTGCTAATCAAGTAATTAAATGTTTCGGTTAAAGGTTATTATAGTCAAGATGGACATGTCATTACAAATGGTGTCCATTATTTACATCAAGATATGAGTTACATCATTTGAACAATTATATATTCGTACGAGCTTTATAAACCTTACCTTTTAAATAATGAGAAAGGTTGTATGGATTGCAAAAACTAAATATTTTAAATGTGAATAATGCACTAGCGTTTAAATTATGCAACAATTGTTGCAAATAGTTTCGCTGTTCTTTTTGTCAGAAGTCAGCTGTTTAAAATAAGTTAAGTACCTGTTGTTTAAATTAAACTTGGAATTTCCATGCTTCAGAATCAAGTAACAGCTTACTATCAAAGAATCTAATTAAGTTAATTAGTCTGTACATTTTCTACACTGTGCACATAAATCATATATTTCCTGTTCTCAAATAGAAGTTGATGGCTTAAATATCAAAGCAGTCAACTTTTAACTATAATAAACTACTCAATCTACTTCAGTTTGCACATTTGGATAATATTATCAACTCAAAAAGTGTAACTCCTGAAGTGGATAATTAATTATTGATATATTGAATTCAATGAAAATTTGTAAACAAAATGTTCCCAGATATTGCTTTGATCAATTGTTATGCATATTTTGTCTTACTCTTCATTTGAATAATCTAACAGTTTCATGTGTATACATCATAAATCTTCATATATGACAATAGAAGGGTTTCAGTTTATTCTCACTTGCTAATTAATTGCTAAATTTAACTTAGAATTGTAGTTGTTAAAATATCTCTTTAGCCATATGTTTTTATAAAATCAATTCAGTTGGTAATTAATTGTTTAAGAGTATTTTTTTCGTGATTACATCATTATTCGTTCATTTTCAGAAATAGGTATAAAACATTCAATGTTTTAGTTTATTTATTATAAGATTCTGTTCTGTTTCGATTATAAAACAAACTTTTTATGATATAATGACTAAATCAGTTTGAGGTATTAAATTTTTCAACTTTAAAGTTGCTTTTTCAAATTCAGCTTTGATTGTAACGACTGTGTAATACAGTTCGTTCTCACGAAAAGATTTAATTTAAAAGCTATTTGATGATAAAGTTTAGTGGTTACTGAGGGTTGTTTTACAACACACTATTCTAACGGAGCCAATATTGATAAAGCTGTAACTTTTGAAACTATCTGATGAAAAATTATTGTTTATATATTTATTATGCAGTTACTAAACATTTGTATTATTGTATCATTATATTCCCTTAATTGTAAACATTAGTTTAGCGCATAAATTACTGTTGTCAGTTTTACCTTTCTCAAGTTATTATTAGTTAATTATAAACCCATTATTTAGTTCAGTTACATTTACAGCTAATGTGTTACACACATTGTAGTTTCCTATTTATGTTGATGTCTTATGGTCAGGAAATTACGCTACATTCTTTGAGTTATATAATCAACTGCCTAACAATAAAGCTTTCTAACCTATTCTTCTGATTATACTTTGTGTTGGAAGAAGCTTGAGGACCAGTAGGCATCAAAATTTCAGTCGTTATTTATTTGGTTAATGTGTTATTAGTAAATTAGGTTATTTCTCTTACAGGCGGAATAAATGAACCTGATAATTATCTCTTGCTACAATAAGTAACGTAATCACACTCAGAGACAAGATTAAATGATACAAAATCGGTTTATTTTTTCGAGGTTATAACACACATATTTTTAGATTATTTTGATACATCGCTTTCTATTTCCGTGGTTTATAACAGACATTGCTGGATTTTATACAGAAATATAACTTGAAACCGTGTATGTGCATCGTTACTTAGTTACATAATTCGTTATATCCGTAAATGCCCCCAAATGCCCTGGTGCAGCCGAGAGTGGGGAGAGTCCTCTCACCCTCTCAAAATGCTCTCACATGGCCACGCGTATATAGCCTCTGCCAGGGAAGTCCTACTCACTGCCTTCTCATGGCGGGGGTGTTGTTTATAAAATTGAGAGGACGAAAAACGAACGTCCGGCGCTTTAACCGGGTTGGTGGACACAGTGAGTCCACCTAGGTGAGTTGGAAAACCTGATCCCAAACCAATGGTGCACATGGGCTCCAGTATCCTGAGTGAACAAATGGCGTACGAACCAATTGTTGGTCACCGGCTATCATGGGACTGCATCTTCTCACGTTGCTCCACTGCCTTGTGGATCAGACCTTTAGGTCGAAGGCTCCGGGTGTGGTCCCCTAAGAAAACTACCTGCTTCGGTTTGGGCACCCGTGCAGTATCACAACCCTCACACAAATTAAATGAGATTTGTGTGGTGCATATGTATTTGGTGCCTCCTTGTACCAATATCTATATGTTCAAATAAAATTATAAATAATATATCCATAAATATATGAATATCTTTTATTATTTGTTTAGTGATTTTTAAATTTCCTTTTTTCAGGTGTGTTGATGAATTATGTAGTTTTCTGCATACGTGTTTAGAACAAATGAATTTATTGATACGTGTATTTCGTGAAACCGATATTATCAGTGAATCCATCGTCATCAACAACAGGAACATCTTATGAACAACAAACAACAATGTGTACACATACCAATGAAGATAATACACAAGTATTATTTGGTAACATATTAGATGTGTATAATAATATGCGTATTTTATTGGATACTATTGAAGCAGAAGATGAAGATAATTATTCACCAAATATTGTAAAATCTAAGAATAGTTGTACATTGTTAACATCATCAACAACGCCGTCATCGGAAATGTTCAATATTGTTAAACCACTGAATACTTCTAATAATAGTACTCTTATTACTAACGGAAATGATAAAACGACGTTAATGGATTCATTGTCTGAAACACTTACTACACTTGAATCAATACCAGAAAAACAATTATGTAGTGATGATAATAGAAATGAAATGAAGAACAATATTAAACACAATAACGAGTGCACTAATGGAAATATCAGTAATAATTCATCAGGATCAACATTTCATTCACCCACTTCAGCTGATCATACATACTCAAATGATGATCATGACGATCGTTATCCTCACCATAATAAACCAGATTCATCGATCAACAATCATGATAATAGTGGTAGTGGTAGTAGTAATAATAATAAGAATAAAACTTATCCTAGACGTCTAGTTGGTATATGTTTAATTGAATTGGCTGAAGATGATTCATTGCATGCATTCAGTCGATATGCTAATATTGTACTAGATTCTAACTCAAGAGATCGTGTTTGGAATTTAATTGAACATGAAAGTTATGCACAGGAATTATGTCAGTTAAGTCGAACTATTGTGCACACAGCTTCGTTGAATAACAAAGTAAGTTTGTTTTACGTCTTTTTGAAGAAAGTGTTGATTTATGTACGATGTGTATGCTGGTGTGTGTGAGTAAAATCAGTCAGTCAACATCGAACCTGGCACAAAAGTGCGAAACGTGACAAAACTGAAATCAATGATATTGAAATGATTGTATAAATTACGGTGGAAAGTTAGATCATAAAGCTCAGGAAGAATAAGTAAGGATACAGCATCTGCCTAGATGATGGCAGAGAGTGGATAACACATGTCATATCAACCTTAGTTTATAAGTTTTATTCACTCGGTGTTTTCATCTTGTAGGAGAAATAATTTGAAGACATTTATGGTGAGATATTAACAACCTGCACATACCCTGAATTTCGGAGACTGTTTCACAGCCGTACGAAATAAAAAGCGTAATGTTGTGCAGTATACTCTTTCTTTGCTTGGCAAGTAAATGTTTGGCTTGCACTGTAGACGCAGTTTACAAAATTGAAACAAACTTGTTACGTCCTTGATCTGTTTATCGACTACTATGCAGACGATAACTTGTCTAAATCTACACTAAGACCTTGACGCGATAGGTTGACTGGCTTAACCTTGAGGCTAGTATGCGTGAGCTCAAAGTGAGACTAACTGCTTGGGGTAGAGAGACGAAAACTATCACCTGATTGTCCGACAAGCACGCGAGAGGGAGAGAGAGGGAAGTCAGCCGAAACATTACTCGATTTATGGTCAACTCCAATCTGTTTCCTGGTTCAGATTAATGTATAATGGTACATTAATAAATAGATGACTAACCAGACCGAAACGTTCAACAATTAGGAAAACAATTACATCCAAAACTGGGGATTAGGGTAGAAAATAGATTACAATAGATGACATTTAATTTACAATAGCTTTGAACAGAAAAGGCTATGGCAGTGAAGCTTATGCTCTATAGAATAAACTAGGGACAAAAATAAATGTTACTGTTTTGCGAGCTTTGAATTAAATGAAATAACGTCCTCAAAAATAGCTTCCGTAGTTTGTCAAGGTCTTTTTTTCTTTGTTCACATCAACAGCATTTTTGGTTTGTTGGATTTTTATCTATCGCCTACAAGGCTCTTGGCTGCGCCACAGGATTGAGCTATGCTATCCAGGTTGTAATGAACGTGGATGATGTCTGGTCCTCATGATAATCAATGTTAAATAACCCTGTTGTAGAGCGTATTTATTAATGTTAATGATGTGGAGGCGCCGGCTCAGTGGTTAATACATTCTATTTTCAGTTATTAGGTTCTAGGTTCTAGGCCTTCTCTATCTAATTTGATTTAAGCAACTGGTGAGTATCACTAGCCCTCACATTTAAAGTTTGGGTCAAAGCTAAGCACGTGAATCTGCATTTGATAAATGAATTGTCAAGACTTTTAACATCAGTTCAGACCCTTAAGGTTAAATGTTCAGTATTCTGTCCTGTTTACCTTACCATTTGGACTTTGAAGTTTCATCTATAGGTACACATTTCTAACTAGTATGAACTGGCTGACGTGTTTCATTGAACATCAGGATTTTTTCCGTATATTTGGATTAACTATATTACTTGTTGTAGCGTATCCATAAAACATTTTTTTAATTAATAAAAGTTCAAACTTAACCAATTGTTTCATTGAGAATAAATTCTGTTTTGTTTCATAAACATTAATATATAGAATTCCGACATATCTACCATATACACCGATACATAGATTTGTAAGAAATATCCTTAAATAAATCCATTTTAAAATAAATAATTCAAGTACTATTCAAAATTACATTGAGTAATATGTTTGCCAAATGCAAATAAACACAGAGATGAGATGGTGGAGAAGATTTGTAGCTCAGGTGTATGATTTTGGTGGAGTTTTGTTTTCTGAGCTGGATGGATGAGAACCATCTCAATTATTTAGGTTTATTTTTAACAGTTTAGGGAACTTAATAGTTTCACTCTAAATTAAATAGTTAGTGAATTATAATATGATTTCTCATATTTATATCTATAATAAAGATTGTTTTCATTCGTTTCTTTTTTAGTACCCTGGATATAATTTCTTTTCATCTTCAACAACAGCAACAACAACACCAGTGACTGACTTTCATTCATTTACATGTTTGCACTGTCAGCACTGGGATACAGTTGTTACTAAACCGCGTAGAAGATCCACTTCAACAACTGTTACCCCTTTAAACAATGACAATAATTCATTCAATGTACATAATAAAAATACCATGTCCACTTCTGTAGATTCAGCAGATAAATTTGATTTGACATCGAAAATGTCATTAAATCGTCATCACCATCGTTCACCTCATTTATTAGGAATGAATACTACATCTTATGCAATTAATTGTAACTATTTAGTAAATGCTACAAGATACTTACTTCCACGAATAATTCTACTGCCAATATTTCATTTTTTTTATTTTCATGAATTAATCGAGGTAAGATAAAGTGAATAAAACTTATGAATAACTTAGATTATATATATATATATATATATATATATATATATATATATATCGCATAAGTAATGGGAACCAATTGTATGGAATTTCTACGAAATTATGTATTTGAATTCTTTCATCATCTAGCTTGTCTAATTTTATCTGTTTCTCTGCAAAATTTTAGGACTCCAAGTTCTCTCATAATCTTATCGATAACCCTCAATTACATCGAAGAAACTAACCTTGGAAGCATGGCTTTCGTTGTATATCCACTCCTTTTATTATTTAGTCGAGTGCTCTAGATTTGTTAATCTGTCAAATTACAAGAAGTGTTGTAGTGGTTTTACTTCGTTAAGCAGTCACCTCGGTAACCGTTACAATATAAATCTCAATGGTGTTTGATATCAGAAGGCAACAAGAAGCGGCCACTACAGTTTATTGGCGGATAGCGCAGGCCACAAAGCTATGAGCACATCAAGCGAATTTGAAGCGGATAGGCGAATATATGTGTGTGAGCAAATACATAGGCAAATTTCTAGTCAAATGGCATAAGGGCACAGCAAGGCAAAGCAAAAGATAATAATAAGATATGAGTACATATACACTTGCGGAGGAGGATGAACCATCGAGTAGTATTGAAGCGATCAACATTTTAGCTAGAGTCTTAAGTGATCTAGTGATCATAACGGTACAAAGAAATACATGAATTGTTATTATTCTAATAACATTTTCTGTTAAGTATGTTAATAAAAGGGCTTAACCAAAATTAACCATAATCGAAATCGATTGTAGGATAGTTGCTATAGTGTTTACAATATCAACATGTTAAACACTGTAAATTTCATGAGCTCGAATTTGAAATAATCAATGAATACATAGTTTTAATAATATTAAAATGACTGTAACATTTCTGTCCGATACTTGAAATGTGTTTTTAATCTAACAATAACATGTGATTAGAAATACTTTTGCTCAAGTAGATGAATCCAATGAAAGGTGTTCCTCGTTCGAACTGCTTTTTCGCAAATTTGTTATCAATAATTCATTGTTTAGTTTTATTGAGATCAGTAGCCGATAACGATTGAGAAACTGAAAGCACTGGAAGACTGTCTCGTTTTAGTATATGGCTCCTCAGTAGTGAGCATTCACAACTTCTCTATAGGGGTTCGAAATCAGGAGCCTTAGCGTCGTATGCCAGCACGCTTTCCTCTAGGTTGACAAACTTCGATCCAATAGTTTTCAATTTTAGCTTGAATTTACGCACAACATCGCACGACTATCTTCCATTGTTTTCGGTTCTTGATCTCAACAACAACAATCTCCACAACTCCCATTCTAACTGATTGTCATCAAATTTTATTCTTAAAACTGAAATGACTTTCAACCAATTTTCTGCGTTATCTTTTCTCAGACGTTACATCGGTGTGCTTATGATGAAGTTGATCGGGCACGTTTAGAAGATGTGCTTAGTATGCTGAGGAAGACACGGGCAACACTAGAACGAGATTTAGCTAAACATCCATGGGTTGCTTTGCATTTAGTACGATTGATATCAACTGGTCAGTTGACTGACCGTTATCGTTCATTATATTTGAATGCTGTTTCTGGTGCTTCTTGTCCACCAAGTCCTGTGAACTATACGGCTCCACCATCACCTGTTAGTCTTTCAAATCAAATTGGGAGTCATGTCTCATGTGCTTCTATGTTCAACACAAATTGTAATGCTTCGTCTAGTAATATATTCAATTATCATAATACTCATCATTCTGTGCCAACAACAGCG